AACATATATATATTAATAAAAATTTTATCAGTGACTGTGAGTTTTGCAAAACTTGTCATAAGAATATTTTATTAGTGTTAATGTTAACCCCACCAAGAATATTTAAATACACTGAACCATGTGTTCAGCTTTAATGTCTGTACTCCTGAGATTTACAGAGGCAAAAATCATGAGAACGAGTTTAGTATTCAGCTCTGACTGATTAAACGCGCAGATACTTCATTGCTCCTGTCAAACAGGTTACACTGAGTGGAGCGTTGGACCGTTCCAAGATGGCGGCGGTCAATGCTGTATCTAGTTATTATATATATGTATTTGTCCACAAGATGACGGCACTGATTCTCCGGATATGGGACGTCTTTTTGGATTTTGTTAGTGGCTGGTTTGGCATAAACCAGTATGTGAATGGCTCAGAATGGATACACAGGACGATATGGATTATGATGGATGGACAACAGTAAAAGGGAGAGGTAGAGGAATGAAGGAAGAATGTTTGACAATCAGAAAAATAAACAAGAATTAGACGGAAGTAGCTCTGATGAAGAGAGAGTTGTCAGACGTAAGGTAGAGATGGGGGAATATAAAATAATATTAAAGTTTAGGAATGAGGAAGAACAGAGCACCATAAGTTCAACCATTCGGTCAAAATAAATAAAAAAGAAGATTGGAGAGGTAGAAATGGTGAAAGTGTTGAGAGATGGAAATTTAATGGTGATTTGCAAAACTGAAGAACAGAAAAGAAAGACACTACATGTTGAAAGCATTTGCAAAAAAACAATGGTGAAAAGAAAAGTTATAGGTGAAAACAAAATAATTCGAGGTGTGATTAACGGCATTCCATTAGATGAGGATCTGGGTAAATTAAAACGAAACATAGTTGGTGCTCAGGTGAAAGACATAAAGAGATTAACAAAAAATCTAAAAGGAGAACGAGTTGGAAGTATGATTGAGTTTTCTGAGAATATTCTGCCGCAAAGAATCAAAGTAGGTTTCCTGAGTTTCCCAGTAAGGCCTTTCATCCCAGCACCACTCCGTTGTTTCAAGTGTCAGAGATATGGACATATAGCTGCTGTGTGTAAAGGAAAGCAACGGTGTTCAAAGTGTGGAGGAGACCATAGAATTGAAGAGTGTAAGGATGATGTACAGGAAAAGTGCTGTAACTGTGGTGGACAACACAGAGTCACATATGGGGGTTGTGAGGTCAGGAAGAAGGTAAAGGACATCCAGCTGATACAGAAAGAGGAGCTTTAAAAAGAATTTACATAGGTTTGATCAGATCAACTATAGATTATGGAAGTATTGTTTATGGGTCAGCAGCGAAGACACATCTGGAAAAACTGGACAGTATTCAACATCAAGCGCTAAGGATTTGTACTGGAGCGTTCAAAACCACCTCTACAGCAGCAATTAAAGTTGAGATGGGAGGAATGCCATTAGAATTAGGGAGAACACAATTAGCTATAAGCTACTGGATCAGTTTACAAGGAAATAAGTCAAATCATCCAACAATAGAAACTTTAAAACCATGTTGGGAAAAAGAGAAAAAGGAGACACGGAGTTTTGGATGGGTAATTAATAGAAAGGCAGAAGAATTACAAATAACCAACTTAAGAATTAGTCCAGTGGTGCCTTTGCCAGCAGTACCACCATGGATCCTACCAGATGCAAGAGTAGATTTAACTCTTTTCGACAAGAAGAAGGATAAAGGATATATTTTAAATTCAAACACAGTACAGATATATATAAACAACTACTATAATCATATTCAGATTTTTACAGATGCATCAAAAAATCCAACTGGAGAAATAGGAATAGCCTTTGTTATACCAGAATTTCAGACAAGACAAGGAAAATGAGTTACAAATGGGTTATCAGTATACACAGGAGAAATATTAGCATTATTATTAGCAATACAATGGATAGAAGAAATTAGACCTTTAAAACAATAATTTGCTCAGATTCTAGTTGAGCATTAACCAGTCTAAAACACAACCACTCAGACAGCAGACCAGACATTTTAATAGAAATACAGCAAACATTATTCAGGATAGAAATGATGGGATTAACAGTTGTATTTATTTGGGTTCCAGCTCACATTGGGATTAAGAGTAACGAACCAGCAGATAGGGAAGCAAACAAGGCAACAACAGTACAAGTTAATTTTACAGTGAGTACAAGCAAATCAGAAGCAAAAAGTATAATTAAACAAACACTGAGGGAAAGGTGGCAGAAAGAATGGGATGAAGATAACAAAGGAAGGTGGTAAAAAAGAGTAGGAAAAATGAGAGTAGGAAGAAAAAATAGAAGAGAGGAGAAACTATTAACAAGGTTAAGATTTGGACATAATGGACTTAACAGTTCGCTAAACACAATACAGGAAACTGTCAATATTGTGGAGAAAACGAGGCAACAGAACATATTATTTTATGAAGAAGATATGTGAGAGAAAGGAGATTAATGTTGGAAGAATTTAGGGGAAATAAAGAAAAGTTTAATTTAATAAATATACTACAGGGAAATTCAGATAGTAAAAGTACTCAGATTTTAATTAGATTTTTCTGGAAAACAAAGGTGATTAACAGAATATAGCAGACATTTTGAGCCACACTCCGCACCGGCAGGTGGCGGTAATGCATCAACAACAACAACAACAACAACAACACTGATTCTCCGGAAGCAACAAATCGAAGAAGAAGACCAGTCAAACATGGCGGTGCTCCAGGCAGAGTTGTGTTGTTTGGACAGTTTTCCGTCCCGCCTCTGTCTCCTGGATGTTTTGATAATTAAACCTCACCTGGATTCGGTTTGGCAACGTGACACGGACACACCGACCGTCCTCTTCACCCCGCAGCGGGCTCAGGGTTGTCATAGGATGGGCATTTTGCTTCGCCTTCACCCGACTACCGAGGCGGAGATATCGACCTGCGGTGGACGAATCTCTCCCAGCGGAGAGTCTGACCGCCGCCTCCGGCTCTTTACCAGCAGGTACTTCCTTCAGCACCACCGGCTCAAAAGCTCCGGTACTGTCCGGCTTCTGGATCCGGTCCGCCTGGACAGAGTGGTGCTGGGAGCCCGCAGCAGGCGGAGCCTCCGCTGGGCCGGAGCGGAGCAGTTCACCGGCGGACTGCTGGAGCTCTGCCGCTCCGGACAGCCGGTCCTGGCCCGGCAGGGAGACCCGCTGCTGCTGCCCCAACACCCGCTGTTTGGGGAGGACCAGCGACAGGTGAGGCTGTAAATGTTCACAAAACTTTAAACACACCAGGACATAATGATTCAGTCAGCTGAAGCGTCTCCTCCTGTGTGGGTAGGTGCAGCAGCAGCTACTGGACCTCCTGGTGTTGGAGTGCAGTCCAGTCACACAGGGGAGGATCACAGCCGGTACCTCTTTGGTTCTGACTGACAGCTGGAACTCAGTGGACCCCCCAGCCCCCCCTTTCCCCTGCAGATCCCTCAGCCTCTGTGTGTCAGACTTTGCTCATTATGCCGACAGCCTTGGTGGGACCCGATCTCTGCTTGACGCTAAAAGGCTTCTGGGTCCAAGTGTGCTGGACGCCCTGCAGGTTCTGGAGTGCAGGATGGATGTCTGTGTGGTGGACGCTCAGCGGTGGCACGGTGTCAAAGGTCAACGGGGAGCGGGGGTGGATGTGGACAGTTGTGTGTTTGTGAGCAAACAGCATCTTCTGAGGCTCGGGGTGTTCAATCACGAGTGGGTGACGTTGTCAAGGCCAGGAGGGTCCTCCAGGGCACCCACGGGGGGGCTTGACGTCAGGGCGTGCATCTGCAGGGAGCGGCTGGTCTCTGTGGTGGTGGTGGATCTCGCTCTCAGCCCAGAACTACAGATCCACAATGATGTGGGCTTTATATCAGCACCTCTGTGGTTCAACATTACTGAAGGAGAAATGATTCCACTGAAGACGTTCACGCTGAGGATGAAGGTGTGTTGACCACTCTGAACACGCATGAAGCATCACAAGTACACTTCCACACGCACCTTAACATTTATGATGCTTCTTATGAGACCCTGGATTAAATGAAGGTATAAATGATTTATGGGTCAAACGGTCTTGATCTGTGAGCTGAGGATTTGAAATGAGAACAAATATGACATGAGAGTTTGAGTTCTCCAGCCAAGCAGATGAAGGTATCACTCTTTGTTTCCATAAATCATCTTCACACATAATTCTGATAAAAGATGGTTTTAGAAAAAAACTCTTAAAGAGGCGTTCTCTTCTAAAGTTTTTGAGGTAATTCATAGTTTTCATCTCCAGCATCCGTCATTGATGTTCAGTAAAAATTAACAACAAATTCTTCTCATTTGCACTTTTCCCCGTTTATTCCTTTTTGTTCTCCTGTAATTTAAATTCTCATCATTGCAACGTGAGAAAAAATATTTTTTAATTTAATGTAGATTTAAGATCTTCTGCTGACATTCACACACTACAAAACACCAGCGTGGACCAGTCGAGGTTTGATCCATCTGTCCATCCATCTATCCATCCATCTGTCCATGCATCCATCTGTCCATCTATCCATCCATCTATCCATCCATCTGTCCATCCATCTATCCATCTATCCATCCATCTGTCCATCCATCTGTCCATCCATCTATCCATCCATCTGTCCATCCATCTATCCATCTATCCATCCATCTGTCCATCCATCTGTCCATCCATCTATCCATCCATCTGTCCATCCATCTATCCATCTATCCATCCATCTGTCCATCCATCTGTCCATCCATCTATCCATCCATCTGTCCATCCATCTATCCATCTATCCATCCATCTGTCCATCTATCCATCTATCCATCCATCTATC